CGGCCTCAGAACTTGTTGAATGGGTGAATGTACAAGTTGTGTACAGCGCTTTGAGTGCTCAGAAAGAGTAGAAAAGCGCTATATAAGAACCAGTCCATTTACCATTTATATGAAACACTGCTGAACTATATAAGGGCTTTCACCCCTACACAATATCCTTCTGCGTTTTATCCTGCTTTATATACCCCCTTTTTCTGCTTTTTTCATCATTCTGTCCCCTCATTTAGCAATCTGCAAGTCCCATTAAATGATTAGTAAGCCCACAAGTGAATATATGCAAAGCCTCTTTTACTCCATCAGCTTAGTGAGCACTAGGCTTAAACACACCTTGCTAAAGTCCCTGTCACACATTCTCACACAAAGGTATTCTGCAAAGCGAACTAATTATCCCAAGAACAACACGTTCACACAATCCAAATATTCTTAGATAGACTGGGGATACTGGCCTAAAAGGTTTATATTCACACACTATCTATGCACTCATGCAAATACATAGGTACGCTGATTGAAAAAGCACACACGTACACATTCAGGCGCGCCCGGGATAAGTCTGAGCCCTCTCTGTCTTATCGAGACGTGCCTCATCAGATAGGATTCTGCTTGTAAGGTCCAACCAATAAAAAGCCCAAATATTCCATTAAGTGTAAATCCTCTCCGCTGGTGCAGCTTGTGGAGTCAGTTTAGGACTAGACAAACACTGCCAAGCAGTCATGCTCAAGCTGGGACCACTGCCAACAAGAAGCCCCACAGATATTGGTGTGTCACTGTGGGGCACGTGTGTATATGTTTGTCTGCACGGGCAGCATGAAACCCCAATGTGAGCATTAGCAGGCAGGGGAATGAACAAACTAAAGCTCTGATCCATGCTGCTCAGTATAATGGAAATGCAGAGACTCAGGAATCTAAGTGGGTTGCAGCTGCAACACATAAGCTTTTGTTCTGTGTGTATGTGTTCACATGTGATGCTTTTATAATTTTTTTTGCCCTTTTGCAACAAAACGGGAGTACACGTTGTGCCCATGTGTGTTGGTGCACACAAGCATTTACGCATTTTGTATACTCACAACACATTTGCCTGCTTTTTATTACTAAAATGAATTTGTAAGACACACAAATTCATTAGCTTTCACTCTGCTATGTAGCTGACTTGTTAGTGCGTTGGTCATATCACTGTGGAGTCTGTGTTTATTTAGAAAAGCAGCTCTGTAGCTCTCTGTGTACTGCACAGACAGCTGCAATGTTTTAGGCAGAACAGACATAGATTTCTATCACTGACCCTAAGGCTGCTCATTAGAATTCAGCACACCTCTCTCAAATCTCCCGCTTCCCCCATCCACCCACCCTTAACTTTTTTCTCTCTCTCACTATCTTCCTTTATTCCTTTCTTGCTGTCTTACACACTGGAAATGAATGCTTAGAACAAAAAGGTGAGCTATTGGGTAGCCGAGATAACAATGACTATGTGAGTAGCATACGCGGCAAGTCGCAGCTGACAAAACATACACAAAGGCAAGCACTGCTGCACAACTGCATACATGTAATTGCTGTTTGCATGTTTATAACATGCACTTTTATAGCTACTATATTTGAAATATTAACATTAAAAAGCTCAAGGCATCCATCATACCTGCAGGAATCTGAGAGAATTATCAGCAGTCTCCCAACTTTAAGTGGATTTCAACTGTGGCTTTTTCAGAAGGCCCACACAGTAAGTGTGTGGCTTTGTATAGCTGCCACACTTGCCCCCCATAAGCAGCCATTTCCACATTAAGAAAGCTTAATGTTTAGAGATTTCTCATTTGAGGTCATAAGCCCATTGCTCCAGAGTCAGCCATATTGAGTGTCTTGCTGCCACCAGCTGCAAGTGTAAAATGTGTATTCTGTCATTGGTTGACAAGTGGTTGCCCGAGGTTGCCCATATGGAAAAGATATATATAAACCTTATAAAGTTTGTATCTGTCTTGTGTGAAACTTGTATGAAAAACATACAAGAGTGAAAACAGATATAAGATCCCTTGAAAAATTATATAAATGAAACGTGTATGTTTTGGATACTTACTAAAACAATATATGAAAGTAATGAGAAAGTGGCCACTTTCGCGAGTAAATCACATAAGCCTTATATAATTCACTATATGGAGTAGGCCACATCTTATGCAAGTCTTTACTATTTCTTTTCCATATGGTTGTTGACTGACACTAGGCGAAATTGGTTGCAAACTTATCTGCAAACACTTGCAAACTGCTAGCTAAGCTACTTGAAAAAGTGGGACACAAGCTGACAAAATGGAAAAATTTTCTTCAGAATAAAAGTTGTGCCTCAGCATTGTAGCCAACATCTTTCACAAGGCATGACTTTTATTTTGATGGGAAAAGTTCTCTGTGTCTATTTTGTGTCACACTTTTCACAGTTTCACTACAACTTTAAAAGTAGCTGCT